TTCAAGATTAAATCCTCATGTACTTTCTTAAACTTAATAAAAATAAAAATCTTAACACTCTCCTTAATTTAATTTTTGAAACTAAATTAAAAAAAATGTATAACAAATGTAACACTAATTAACATTGTCAATTCCAATCTTATTTATGTGGTGGATACCCAAAAAAAAAATAAATGGCTAGTTATATTAATAATCCGTAACAAGAAAATGATATGATGAAAGACTTATGCAACTATATTATTAATTTCATTAATTTATTATTGTTGTTATAATCATAAAATTAATTAAATAATATTTATGTTCCTATGATTTAAAATCTGATTCAAATGTGATTCACAATAATCATTAATAATAACGACACAAATAACAACATGAGTTCCTGTGTTTCTGAGAAAGATTTCAAGGCCATCTTCTCTTTGGACAAATGAACCATGAAAGATAATTGCTGCCTCTAATATTAAAAAATAAAATTAAAAAGATTGATTTTACCATTTTGAAATTGATATTAAAATTATCTTTTCTTTTTTCATGTTATTCTTAATGATCATACAAATATCTTATCTATTAAGACTAGAACTGATTTTGAAAACCAAATAATTGTGGAAAAAATTTAATTAAAAAATAATAGTTATTTATTTTTTTTTTTAATCTTTTTCTTCATATATATTTCGTACCATTATTATAGAAAAATAATTATATCATCAAACGTTATTATACTATACTAGGAAATTGTAAGTCCGGAGCAATAATTGTGTGTTCTTTATCTACAACAATCATTATCTAAAAATCGGACAGACACCTGTCCCAAGTTACTTTTTTTGATATTTTCTTATTGATGCATCAAAACGTAACTTTGGTATCGCTTTAACTCGCCCATTAAGTGTCCTCCAGACAATCAATTAAAATTTTGAATACGTTGCATTGTGACATTCTTGGAATATTTATCAGATGACATTTTTGTTTACTTATAGCGTGTAAGGTAATAGGTATTACGAATAGTTTCGGATCGACCAATTTAGTAGATATTTGAGTATAAATCAACTATCACGCGGTTATAATTTGATACTCATATCACTAATATTATCGTTACAATGCAATGTTACAAACATTAAAGCGTAAAAAAAAATTTCTCGGACCCTAGAGATAGTATGTGTAAATTTTATTATTATTGCCTAATAACAGAAGTAAAAATAACAGCTAGTTAGCATAAAGAAAGATTTTTATTGTACATCTAACAAAAATATTATTATTAATTTAAAAATCAAAGTTAAAGGAATTTATGTATTTGTGGTGTGCTAAGTAATATTAATAATAATATTTTTTTTTTAGATCGATCAAAAAGATTGCAATTACTATTTTTGAAAGTGCATATTTTTTGTACGTACATATATTTATTTATTCTATATCTAAGAAATTATTTTTAGTTATTACTAAACAACTTAGTGTAACAAATTTTTTTCTTCATTTCCGTCAAAAATAAAATAAAAAAGCTTGACACTAAATTTTCGCGGGCTTGAATCCACAAAATTTATCTTTTTTTAAAAAATTAATTAAAATTTTTATATCTATTATTTCATCATAATGATACGATTAGGTTTAAATTTGATAATAGCGTGGATAACAATTTTTTCGGTATGTCTTGGAATTTTTACATATAATGAAACTAATACATACTCCACACCACCACGGATATGGCAACACGGGGAATATATCGATGGGACAGTGGTTCTTCGAATTATTAGTAGTGATCCTAATAAAACGTCTACATCTACTACTGGAGTGTGGACAAAACCAGTGTTGTCTTTACGCATTATTCATCCCAATGGAACAGTCAATGAAAAAGACATAGACAAAGACCTAGAGATTCAAGAATTTAACTGGTTCATTTTTACAATTCCTGATGTTACTGATAACCAGGACCCTATAAATGTATATGCGCTTCAAAGGGGCTACTTAATTGTTAGATACTTTAGAGCTTCAAATACGACCGATATTACAACTTACGAAGAATGGGGACGTATTATTGATTGGAATGGCAATTTATATAAGTAAATATTTTTAATAATTCTATCATAATCATATTACATCATATTATCTTTAATAACAATGACAATTATTATCTAAACTATGAAGTGAAGTAAATTTCGGGAGGGCTTACATCAGGAATGGTATATGGTACCCATCATTAACGGCGATAGTAACTAACGTTGATCCATCAAAAGGTTTTATAAGGACAGCTGCGGAGAATGCAACTTATGTCGAGTGGCAACAATATATGATGTGAGTTTTTATATTGACATACGTTTGATATTATGAATTTTAAAATTTTACAATTTAAATTTTATTTTTAGAGACGATTTATTTGATCTTATAAAGTTATCAGAAGGAAATATTACATTTCCCCAAAGTGGAACTTCTGCAGTAATTAATATCATAGCTACTGTTGACGAGGGTTATAGTATAATTATGGGAAATTCCATCAACTCCACTAATTCCGACAATCTTTTGGAAATTTACGCCACGGTGCATTATTTAAAAATAGGATATAATGGTACACAATTTGATACACCAAAATTGCTTTATCAATCATCCCTTCCTAATATTACAATATCTCGTATGTTTTGTGGATTTTCAAGTACTCAAGTTTGTATACTTAACGTCATACAGACACAGAACAATGGAACACAGAGCAATGTCAAAAATTATTATGTGAAACTTGATTTCTTATCATCTGGTTCTGTTATAAAAATTACCCCATTAATCAGCTTACCCAATTTACCCTTAAATTATACTACAGGATGGCAAGTGGAAAGTATTCCTTATGGTGGTTATTTATTTTATGGTTATTTTCAGGATGCAAACGGTCGTAACAATGCTTATGGATACTATTATAACGAAATCGAAGATTATTATAAGGAATGGGATTTTCCTGAACCATCAGTTTTAAATTCGCGAGGAACTTTGATAATTATGCCTAATAATACTCTATTAGTATCACTAAGAGAAAATAATAATACATGGAGTTTTAATACCACTGATATTCCTAACTACTCAGGGCTTTCGGATAATGGTTATTTAAATCTTCTAGTAAATTCTACAAGTCCCCGAATTAATTCTAATATAACAAAGGATACGAAGAATATTACAATCACATATCATGAACCAGTAGAACTTTCTGATGGATTTATTTGGATCTATCGAATTGTTGACAAATTTACTACTCAAAACGTTACTCGACAATTTGTTAATGGCAACATTGATGAATTTTGTTCCATCTCTGATGATGGATTAACTGTAATTGTAGAAGTTATCAGAAGTACCTTTAGTTATCCTAATAGCCAATATTATGTTAAAGTTGATAATAATTTTGTAAGAAGCAAATTATTCGGTGAACCCTTAATGGGTATAGATGATAATATTTGGAAATTTTATACAAGTATGTAAATGAATTATTTTTAATTATATGTTGTCAATTTAAATATTAAATATTTTCTCTCTTTATATTCTGAAACGGTTTTTAGGTTTTATTGAAGAACCTTTTGCAGGTAAATTTCAGTACAATTGTTATTATGTGTGTTTAATATAATATCACTCAAAATGTATTGAAATTTTCTACAATAGGCACAACATCTGGAGCGATGCGTTTGACTGCAGAAGGCACCCTACATTACTATAATCTTAATTCAACTAGAAAAAATAATTTCTTTCAAGATATAATAATTGAATTATCTAAAATTCTTTCTATTAGTTCTAATCGACTAAGTACAAGTGAGAAAATCCAAGTTGATAACGTAAATTCTCAAATATTTATTGAACTTAGAATTCAATCATCCAGAACTGAAAGAAGTGTAAAATCTATTATGGATGATTTAAATGAGATGATTAAATATAAAAGAATAACTTCCATTAGTTTATTTCCTAACACGCATTATTTAGATAAAGATTATGGATTTGTACCAAGTCGTGAGTATACAGCATATTGAATTTAAACTTAGTTAACATATTTCCATTACTAATCACTTTTTTTTTTATTAGAAAACTTATGGGAAAAATACAAGTTGACATTTGTGGTTGCTATGTCAGCACTTGGAATTTTAGTAGTTCTTTTCTTATTGGCATATAAAAAGATCGAAAGGTAAAAAAAAAAAAAGACATCTTTTTTGTTTAAAATATTATAGAAAATGGAAATTTGTGTGTATTAACATTATTTAAATTTTCTTAAAGGGCTTAAAGGGTAACATGGCTGTTTTAGAACTTGGATTAATTATTTTTGATTTTGTAATAAATTCCCTTTTCGTCAGTAAAAATGGTAAAGATGTTAAAGAATTATATATTCCAAGGTAAATTTATCAATTAATATACATTACATATTTATATTATATTATTAAAAACTTATATAAATATGTATATAAATAGTCTCATGTTCTTGACTGTTCCAACAGTTGTCAACATTATTTGGGCATTTATTATTATCTTTGATGAAAACAAATCTAAAACTTTCTTAGATTGGTTCGGTCAACATGGAATGGTGGCATTAATATTTACAGTTTTATCAGGTGCTGATATTGAAGCATTAAGTATTCTCCATTCAAATATGGCCGGGTTTGAATTTTTCAATGCTCCATTTTCAACTAAAGGAAAAAATAGAATCTTTCGGGCTTCTTGTTTAGCCATTTTTTTTAAAGATATACCGCAAGTGATCATTCAGGTCAGTCTTCAAATTATTTTTATTTATATGAAAAATAAATTATTATTTGTTTCGTTTTCTAATTATAAAAATTTCAATACTTTTAGATATTATACCAACAAAGTGTGGTTAGATATGATATAATTCCTCTTTTTGCACTCATTTCTTCATGTCTTAGCTTATTAATAAATATTATTGGCAGATTTTTTCAAATAATAAATATTTGTCGACACATATATTTGGATGCACCAGTTGCTGAACAAAATTTCACTTCAGATGAATTAATATCTCATTCAATTCACGTCAAAGATAAAAAAGGAAAAAATAAATTGACAAAAATAAGTTCAAAGGTAGTTTTCAAGAAGTAATATCTTGATAAACATATTATTATTTACTTTAATAATATTGAGGTAAATTATGCACTTTTGTGGGGAAATAATAAAATATTTTAATATTTTAATTGGTGAAATTTATGTATAATTTAGAAAATTGTAACATCAACATTGATAATTTTAATTTTCAAAAAATTGTATATTTTGTTTTTTATTATTAAAAGTATAAATAAACGAGTCCTCAGGTCTATAATCACCGCTTTATTCAGTCCCAAAATTTTTTTTCTAAAACAGAACCATAATGTAAAAGGAATAACCTATGAATTTTCATATTATTGACATTTCCGAGTGTATTTCTTTGTTCGGAAAAATCTTTACATAAATTTTGCATGAAAGTAAATAAAATATTTAAAGAAATAAATGTTACAATAGTTTGGATGATAGTTGTCGGTCATACCTAAAATACAATGTGAGACAAAAGTCTTTTACGATTCTTTTTGCCGATTTACCATCGTCTGTTCAGACAATGATCAAAATTCCACACATTTGGAAACATTAGTATAAGGAATATAAGAGAAATACAGTAGAGAACGAATATTCCAAGATTAAAAACTTATTATAATACCACAAAACTAAAAAAAAATCTGGGAGTGTAAAACATAAAAAATGGCAAGGAGGCCAGTTTGTAAGAAGGAATCCCTCAATGTCTTTGCGGACTTAAGTAAGCAAATTGTTTAAAATAATGTAAATCCATCACAAAACAATTTTACGACATTTGAAAATACTGGGGATATAACAAAAAAATTGCTAATAGTAAAACAGTTAGAAAACAAAAGTGCCTAGAATAGGCACAAAAACATCCTAATTATAATTGGGAAAAAAACAGCATTTCAGATGAAGCAGCTTTTCAACTATTTAGGAATACAATAAAACATTGGTACAAAGGAGCTGACCATTCAAATTTTTTGCTTGGGGTGGATTTAGTGCACAAGAAAAAACAAGCCTTTTTTGGTTTTGAAGAATCATGGATGGTCCATTTTATGTCAATATCTTAAGACAATACTTACCCGAGATTACAAGAATGTTGAATAATGAATGGTGATTTCAATAAGATATAACCCAAAGCATGCAAGTCGTATAGTCAAAGAATTTCTTCGAGAAAATTTTCCTGAGGTAATCAATTGGCCATCTAATAGTCACCTATTTAAAATTTATGGAGTGCTGTCAAAGTGAATGTGGAGAAGCGGAAACTAATAAATTTGGTGGAATTAGAACAATTTATATAGAAGAATGGAGTATTATTAATTTAGTAAAAAAGAATATTTCATATTAATCTATTGCTTTCAATGTCTCGAATAATCAAATTTGCACGCTAATCTAATTGTCCGTTGTTGCGCAATAACCTAATAAATTTGTCCAAGACTTTTGTCCCACACTGTATACTCACTCACATTAATTGATTCATTTGTAATAGCATCAATGATCTAAGAATGATGATTCAAAAAGTGTATTCATGCTCCAAATTTTTTTGATCAAGAATAATGAATGATGTTGATGAATGACTTAGTAATGTTATAATCGACTCATTGATTATATCTAAATTTGAATATAATTTTTTAAAAAAAACTAAATATAAAAAAGATTATTAAATAATATGCTGTTTTGATGGTTTATATTTATATATTTATATAATATTTTTTATAATTATTTACAACACATAGACAATGACAAATAATTTAAATAATTAGAACCATTAATTTAAGGATAAGGTAGTTCATTCATCTATAAAATTCGTTTCGATACATATGCAGTTCACTGGTCATATAATATTGTATTATTAGAAAGTCAAATATACGAATACAATAAATCATACATCATTACAAAATAAATTATCACTAATAAATCGACTCGAGAAAATTATATAATTAAAAAATTTAAAAATTTGCTAATAGAGAAGATGTAGAATCAAAAAGTATATCCAAATTTCCAATATATCCATCAATCTATTCAGTATAATAAATGATACCAAACCACCTTTTGCTATTCCTTTAATACCTTTAAATCTATTATAAGATATCTATTTTATTACTTTCCGTGAGACTTTTAATTTTATAGTAATTTATACTTGGTAAAATAAATAAAATTGAGTCTATAGTTTAATTTTTGTTAATATATTAACTTAACTAATTTATTTTGGCAATACAATATGATTTATATGAGATTTATAGTAGTTTATTATGATAATTATATCTAATGAAATATAAACGAATGTTTCAGACATTGATGGTTATCCATAAATAATGGCAAAATAATTTAATCCGATTTTTAGTAGTTTAAATTATGTATCAATTAAAACTAATCAAAGTCAAGATGGTGGTAAATATTTTATTATATATCAAGATTAAATAATGTATAATTATAAAAGAGTTCGATGATAATATCAATATATTTTTGTTGTTGTCTTATCTTTATGATTATTATTGTAACTGTTATGATTATTTTTATTTAATATAAACCTATTCATCTTTTTTTCTTTTCCCTTAGTGAAGCGATTAGTTCAAAGAGAAGTTGCTATTATCATAAATTAATTAAATAAATAAATATTTATGTTATTATGATATAAATCTGATTCAAATGCGATTAATAAGTTCACAATAATCACTAATGACACATGTTATTTCTGAGAATGATTTTAAGGCCACCTTCTCTAAATGAACCTTGAAAGATAATTGCATTGGTGCTTCAAATATTTAATGATCATACAAATATCTTTATTATCTATTAAGATTAGAATTGACTTAAAAAACCAAATAATTGTGAAAAAATTTTTTTTCTTCATATATATTTCGTATGTATCAAAAATTAAAAGTTTATTAGCTGATGAAGATATTCATAAAATAATTATTGAATATCTCTGGAGAGAATGTTGTAATGTAACTGTAAATATTTTAAAGAATTTATTGAACAAGTTTTTCCAATTGTTGGAATTGAAAATAAAAACAATTTCATATAATACAGTACGAGAATGGTTAAAGCATTTTGGTTTACTGGATATAAAGGTGTTTATTATTATGATGGACATGAGCGATCTGATGTACTTGAATATCGACAGTATTCTATGTTAATGCTGGCATTAAAACCTTTGGAAACTGACATCAACCTCTTCGTAAAAAAGGATCCTGATTAAGTTTACATGTTAGTGAATTTTCAACAGAAACTGATGGCAGATTGAAATTTGTACAAAAAATGAAGCATGTGTTATTATAAAACCAGGTGTAAATCGCGATGGATGGTGGAAAAATGGAGACTTAATTAAACAGGCAAGTAACATGCTTTTGTCTTTTATTAAATCATTATATAATAATTTTGATTCATTGATTTATTATTAGATTACTGAAAAGGCTTTACATATTTTAGAGAAGTGTTATCCAAACACTATTGGAATAATGTATTTGGCAATGTAACATCTCATGGAGCATATACAGAAGATTCTATAATTTCATCAAAAATGAATCTTAAAACAGGTGAAAAAGGAAGGTTTAAAATGGAATGGTGTCAGATGGAGCAATACAGTCAATGCATCTTCCAGATGGTCAACCAAAAGGTATTCATTTAATTTTGGAAGAATGTGGATTGTGGCCTGAAAGAGGTCTAAATCGTATTTGTTCTGATTGTAAGAAACATTTGCCAATTAAAAATGATTGTTGTGCAGTCCATATCCTTTCACTTAAACTTGATTTTATGGCTCAAAAACCATTAATTAAAGAGGTAATTGAAAATCATGGATGTAAAGCTATATTCTTCCAAAGTTCCATTGTGAACTTAATTTCATTGAAATGTTTTGGGGTATCGCAAAACAATATACCCATAACAATTATGATATTCATTCAAGAGATTAGAAAATATTGTTCCCGAAGCATTGGATTCAGTATCATTGCATGCTTGTCATTCTTGGGGATTTATGGATGTTTACAGAAAAGACTTAACAGTATTTCAGCTTTATATATTATAAAGCAATACAGATCTCATCGGAGAGTTCCTGAGAATGTAATAAATTACATCAAATAATTAAATTTTAATATGATAATAATAAATTTCATATCGATTTTATTATTTTTAAATATCATCCAATAAAATTCGTTCCATGTGATTTATATATAAACCAGAAACTTTTGCCGTAATATATAAAAGTGGTGACTTTAGACATATTAATATTAATTATTCTCCTTCGACTAATAGGAACTAACACACACCACAAATATATAAATTCTTTTAACATTGATTTTTAAATTAATAATATCTTTTTATGTACCATACATATTATTTCTGAATAAAAATCTTACTTTATGCTGACTAGTTGTTATTTTTTTATTTCTGTTATTATAATACAATAATAAAACATAATCTCCAAGGTCCTTTTACGTCATTCTGTAAAAGTATTAACCATATTAGATGTTTGTTTGTAACATTGCATTGTAACCCGAAATAACGATAATCTCATTACACACTACAAGTGAAGAATTATTTCCAAAAGAAGAGTAGGAATAAAATCCACGTTTGAATTTTTATTCATCAAAATAATTATTTTTCTGGAATAAAGGTACGAAATATATATGAAGTAAAAAATTATGAAAATATATTATTATAATTAATTAAAATTTTTTTTAATCAATTCTTCACAACTCCACAATTTAAAATCAATTCTAATGATAATAAAGATACAGTATATGAAAAAATAAAGGATAATTTTAATGTGATTTCAAAATGGTAAAATCAAATCTTTGATAATGAAAAATTTTTCAATTAAATTGTTATTTTTTTAATATTATCTTTTATGGTTTATTTGTCCAAAGAGAAGATGACTTTGAAATCATTCTCAGATCAATTACTCAACGTAACTATTAACAAATAAAAATTAAAATTAAAAAGAATGACATTATCATTGTATAAAAAAGCTTTATTTATCGAAATCATTATCATTTTATGCTTATTTAACTTTAACTTGCATCCATCAAATAAAGAAAAACAGGCAATTTTTTTTCATTCAAAAAACGGACATGAAGATAACAATGTATAGAATGTATAGGCAAAAACAGGGAGGAAGATTGTTGACTACTTAAGTCAAAAATTTTAGCTTATTTTTGATTATTTGATGTGTGTTGTTTTAGACTTTATCTTCAAACAATGTAAAACTTCTTATTCCATTAAATAATATACTAACTTGCTGTAATAATTTTTATTTATGTATTTTAAATTAAATTTTTGATGTATCTTTACAGTTGAAACAATTCATTCCTTCTTGAAAAAGATTTATAATTAAAACAATAAAGTTATTATTTTCTATCACTCTTTCAACCACCCAACATATATCAATAGTTAGGATCACGCTATTCTGCCATAGTAATGCTGTTACCACTTTTTTTGTTAACTTTTTTTTTGATTAAATCATTAATTCGAAGGTATATCATGATGCTACAGTTAGATAAATTGATTTATTGTGATCATATCTGATGTTTATCTTATAAAACCTCCATAAATACGATGAATAACTTTTTAAACAGACCAGAGGTCAAATATTAACTCGCTTATTTATACTTTGAATATAGATATTTCCTAATAATTAAAAACAAAATATATAATTTTTTTTTGAAAAATAAAAATTATCAACGCTGATGTTAATGAATAAGTGATAATTTTCTAAAAATACATAAATTTCGCCAATTAAAATATTAACATATTTTATTTTTCCCACAAATGTGCATAATTTACCTCAATATTAAAAAATAAATAATAATACATTTTATCAAAATATTACTTCTTGAAAACTGCCGTCAGAACTTCTTTTTGTTAATGTATTTTTTCCTTTTTCATCTTTGACGTGAATTGAATGTGACATTTATTCATCTGAAGTGAAATTTCTTTCTGCAGCTGGTGCTTTCAAAGATCCATATCGACAAATTTTTATTGTTTGTCCAACAATATTTATTAATAAGTGAAGACATGAAGAGATGAGTGCAAAAAGAGGAATTGTATCATATGAAACCACATTTTTAAAGTATAATACCTAAAAAATATTGAAGATTTTTATAATTAGAAAACAAAACAAACCAATAATTTATTATTTTTCATATAAATAAAAAAATTATTTGAAGACTGACCTGAATGATCACTTGCGGTATGTTTTCAAAAAAAATGGTTAAACAAGAAGCCCGAAAGATTCTATTTTTTCCGTTAGTTGAAAATGAAGCATTGAGAAATTCAAACACGGCCATATTTGAATGGAGAATACTTAATGCTCCAATATCAGTACCTGATAAAACTGTAAATATTAATGCCACTATTCCATGTTGACCGAACCAATCTAAGAATAAATAAATGAATAAGTAAATAATTATGTAAATAAAATATGCAATGTATATAAATTGATAAATTTACCTTGGAATATATAATGCCCTAACAATCTTACCATTGTTGCTGGCGAAAAGGGCATTATTACAAAATCAAAAATAATTAATCCAAGTTTTAAAAAAGCCATGTTACCCTTTAAGCCCTTTAAGAAAATTTAAATAATGTTAATACACACCAATTTCCATTTTCTATAATATTTTAAACAAAAAAGATGTCTTTTTTTTTTACCTTTCGATCTTTTTTATATACCAATAAGAAAAGAACTACTAAAATTCCAAGTGCTAAATTAAAATACACAAATGGCAACCCGAATTTTTCCCAAAACCTTTCTAATGAAAAAAAAAGTGATTAGTAATCGAAATATGTTAAATAAGTTTAAAATTCAATATATACTCACGTTGTTGTTCGAATCCATACTCTTCATCTAAATAATTCGTGTTAGGAAATAAACTAATGGAAGTTATTCTTTTATATTCAATCATCTCATTTAAATCATCTATAATAGATTTTACACTTCTTTCAGTTTTGGATGATTGAATTATAGTGAGGCGGCACGAAAATAGCCGGAGTCACGGGGATGATGGAGGATGATATGTGTCACTATTTGGATGAATTATCCTTGTGTGTCATCCATCATCCAGGATGACTGT